CTCGTGATCCACCCGCCTCGGCCTCCCAAAGTGCTGGGATTACAGGCGTGAGCCACCACGCCCGGCCAGTTATGTGTTCTTAAGATGCAGTAACACATACAGAGCAGCTGTGCGAGGTGGCTCAGGCCTATAATCCCAGCACTTTGGGGGGCCGAGGTGGGTGGATCACTTGAGGTCAGGAGTTTGAGACCAACCTGGCTAACATGGTAAAACCCCGTCTCTACTAAAAATACAAAAAATTAGCTGGGCGTGGTGGCAGGCACCTGTAATCCCAGCTACTCGGGAGGCTAAGGCAGGAAAATCGCTTGAACCCAGGAGACAGAGGTTGCAGTGAGGCAAGATTGTGCCACTGCACTCCAGCCTGGGTGACAAGAGCAAAACTCCATCTCAAAGAATAAACAAACAAACAAACAAACTACATGGTGCAGACCCAAGTTGTGTCAGTGGCTCCAGCTTGGCCCATTCTAGATCAGCCTTCAGCTAGTCGTCAATCCCCAGGCAGATCAGCAGAGCCATCTAGCCAACCGCCCAGGCCTCTGGATAATAAGCACTACTATCATTTTGGGGCTGTTTGTTACACAGCGTTACCATGGTGATAAAGAACTGATACAGAACCCAAGTAGCTTTATTTGCCTACAAGTCAAGAAGGGGTGGAAAGAAGAGGGCTTTGGCTTTGTTTCCACTGTCCCGCTGCCCTCTCTGCCTCCCTCTCTCTCCATCTCAGGTACAAATGGCTCAGGTTCAAATGGCCCTTGAGTTCAAGTTTTCTCACAAGCTCCATGCAAGAATGGGCTGGCAGTAGGGACTGTGTGCCCACTTTGGGCAAGGCACGGGGAATCCCATGGTGGACACAACACACAGAAACCTCCAAGAGTTCACAGTCTAGTGGAGAAAAGAGACAATAAACTGGCAATTACAACGCAATGTGATAAAAAGCAAGATAAGGCCTCTGAGAAAGGGCTCCTGAGTCCAACTAGGGCAAATGTCAGGAAACACTTCCTCCAGGAAGCCAAACTGAGATCTGATGGAGAAGTAGGAATCAGCCAAGTAAAGGTGAGGATGGGTTCCCAGGCAGAGGGGACAGCATGTTCAAAATCCCAGATCAGCAGCCATAGCATGTTAGCAATACAGATTATCAAGCCTCACCCCAAAACACACCTAAATCAGAAACTGTGGGAGAGCAGCAGCCCTCTGTGTTTTGTTTATTTATTTATTTATTTTAAACAAATAAGCAATTATTTAATTTTTTTTTTTAAGAGATAGTGGGTGGATCTCACTCTGTTGCCCTGGCCAGTCTCAAACCCCTGACTTCAAGCAATCCTCCGACCTCAGCCTCCCAAAGTGCTGGGATTACAGGAGTGATTCACTATACCCAGCCCAGCATCTGTGTCTTAGCAAGCCCTCCAAGTGATTCTGACACCCATTCAAGACCGACAGGTGTCCGGGCACGGGGGCTCAGGCCTGTAATCCCAGGGCTTTGGGAGGCTGAGGTGGGAGGATCACTTGAATCCAGGAGATTGAAGCTGCAGTGAGCCACGATCATGACACTGTATTCCAGCTGGGGCAACAGAGATACCCTGTGTCTTTTTTTGTTTGTTTAATGTAAATATTTTTTTTTTTTTTAGAGATGGGGCGGTGGTCTCACTATGTTGCGCAGGCTGCTCTTGAACTCACATTCCACCTGGACCCACCTTGGGCTCCCAAAGTGCTGAGATTACAGGTGTGAGCCACCGCACCCAGCTGACCCTGTCTCAAAAAAAAGACTGATAGGTGTTAACGGGCATTAGACTGTCACCAGGTAAAAAGAAGCAAATGCAGCCCATTTTGCTGAGAAGTTTCACAATTGCCCAGGCCCCCTCCACAATCAAGACCCAAATACAAAGAGGCAGCAGGAATAGGAAGATAAGCAGAACCTGTTGGGGTGATGAAAATGATCAATTAGTGGCAATGGTTGTAGAACGTTGGAATACACTAAAATCCAGAGTCATGCGCTTTAAAAGGATGAATTTTGGCTGGGCACAGTGGCTTACACCTGTAATCCCAGCACTTTGGAAGGCCAAGGTGGGTGGATCATTTGAGATCAGGAGTTCAAGGTCAGCCTGGCCAACATGGTGAAACCCCATCTCTACTAAAAATACAAAAATTAGCTGGGCAGTAGTGGTGCACACCGGTAATCGCAGCTACTCAGGAGGCTGAAACAAGAGAATCACTTGAGCCTGGGAGGTGGAAGTTGCAGTGAGCCGAGATTGCGCCACTGCACTCCCGTCTGGGAGACAGAAAAAAAAAAAAAAAAAAAAAAAAAAAAAAAAAAAAAAAAAATTTAATAAAAAAAAAAAAAAAAAAAAAAAAAAAAGAATGAATTTTGTGGCATGTAAATTATATTTCAATAAAGCTGTTATAGAAAAACTGCCACCTGCCTCTGGCAATCCCTCCCATTTAAGTGAAAGAGTAATCATTATCTGCATTTGGCCTCTTGTCTTGTTAGAAGGGGCTCCCTTTGAAAAATCTGAAGTCAGAGCCCCAGGAAGTCCTGATTCTCTCACCATTTTGGCCATACCTACCCAAAAGACCTTTGAGCCAAGTCAGCATGGAAAAAAAAACCCACCACCACCACCAACAACCAAATTTTAAAAACTAAGCCGCTTGCTGAAAGGTAGAGAATGTCATCTAATGATAGAGATTCCAAAATAGCAAGAAATGCTTCTGAACAATCACTTTAAAAAGCAGGTGAGGGCTGGGCACAATGGTTCACATCTGTAATCCCAACACTTTGGGAGGCCAAGCAGGTGGATCACTTGAGGTCAGGAGTTCAAGACCAGCCTGGTCAACATGGTGAAACCTCATCTGTACTAAAAATACAAAATTAGCTTAATAGCCAGGCACGGTGGCTCACGCCTGTAATCCCAGCACTTCGGGAGGCTGAGGCAGGCAAATCATCTGAGGTCAGGAGTTCGAGACAAGCCTGGCTAACATGGTGAAACGCCGTTTCTACTGAAAATACATAAAATCAGCCAGGTGTGATGGCATGCACCTGTAATCCCAGCTACTTGGGAGGCTGAGGCAGGAGAATCGCTTGAAGCTGGGAGGCAGAGGTTGCAGTGAGCTGAGATCGTGCCATAGAGATTGCAAGCTGAGATTGCACTCCAGCTTGGGCAACAAGAGGGAAACTCGGGAAACTCTGTCTCAAAAAA